GCCACCACAGACCAACACAACCTAAGAGCAAGGCACCCAGGTGTAAGACATGTCAATCTCCTGCAGACTCACTCCATCTGATGCTCAGGTTCCAGGGCAGGTGCCTAATTGACATATATAAGCCAATAGTTTCCCTGGACCACTCCCCATTGCAGCACCAGACATTCACTGCTCTTCTTAAAGCTCCCATCAACCTCAGCCCAAATGCCACTTTCCCCAGGAAGTCTCCTCTTGCTGCTCAGCTCACTGATAGATCTTATTTCCTCATCCTGTATCCTCACCTCTCACAGAGTACTGGGTGTAGATGAAGCAGTTAATACTTATTAGTTGAATTAATGAGAAATCACACATTACTCTGACCTTGTAATAATAATTAACATTGTTGAAGGTTGATCATGAACAGCTGGATGTTTCCAAGTTTATCATACCGTAGATCATCCCACTTATTCTTCACAATGCCAAAGAACCAGCCACTGTTATATCTCTGTTTGGCAAACAAGGAAATGAAACTGAGTCTTAGAAGCTCTGACATGCCCAAGGCCGTGTAAGTAGCCAACAGTGGGACTGAAGGACAAATTGTAATGTACGGAAAGTGCCCAGAACCCAAATAGTCCTAATATTTTGGGCTCTGCCTTTGGATTGGCTCAACTGGTAGATCCATTTCTTCTCATTTACAGCTATGGCAGTTTCCACTCCCCCCTCTGCACCTGGAAGCCTAGAAAATTCTGACAAGACCATTGGCAAAGAGAAGCAAATTTTTTCCTCTTCCACCCTTAAACTGCTGATCTGGGCCATTGTCTAATTTTCTCCTCCAAAAAATGGAAACTTCGGGAAATTACTTTGGCAGAAAAGTCTTGCTTCGGTCTTCTCCAGAAGCCCAAGTGTCAATATAGCTGGCAGCACTGACGGAAATAAATTAAACAAAAAAGATCCCATTGGCTGAAACCCACCAAAATGAAGGTTGGCCAAAAAGAGCTTGTATGTGTTCGAGGATGGTAAGCGCCCTGTCATGGAAAATCCCTGACGTAGCTGACATTTATAGAGCACTTGCTTTGTGTCCACCACTGTTTTCAGCTTTTAACAGATGTTAAGTCCTGTGGTTATAATTAACTATTCCCATTTTTTAAATGAACAAATTGAGGCAGACAGAGATTATCCACCTTGGCCAAGGTCACAGTGTTAAAATGTGAAGGTTCCAGTTATACTTGAGTTGGGATGATAAATAACATATTTCAGAAGGCTGCACAAGCGTCTACTGCTCACTCAACCCTCACCCTCATCATTTCTGGTACTATGTGGTTGAATTGGCCACAAAATAGCAACAATTACTCCGCAGGCTTTAATCTCTTCAAGGATGAGTTCCACTGTGTGACCTCCTCCAGCTGAAAACACCTCTCCGAAGGGTTACGATTGTGGTTTCGTAGCACAGTGGCCCAGGACCATGGAAAGTCAACATGATCCTCTATCTAAAAGCAGTGTCCTGAACCTAATCATAGCAAATCTAGTGAACACTCACGACCTACTTTGAGCAGAGAGCTTGAGCTAAGCGGTCAAGGCTGCACAGAAAATTACTGGGTCCCCAAAACAGATGCAGCCACATGGTTAAATGAGAGAGTAAACTGATCTGGTGCTATGATAAGCTTGGAGACAGTGAAGTGCTGAAGTTGGTACTGGTTTGCACAATCTGTCAGATTTTTTGGAGTTTTGCACAACTGTTAAACAGACATTGTTTAAAGTTGTCACATAAAACTTCAAATGAATGAATTATATTAAAATGTTAGTAAACAGCATCATCGCTTCCTAATTATTTTGCTACATTTTACTATGTACCCTTGAGGTTATCTATGTATCTGTTTGGTAGAGGTACCTTATGTTGGTGAGAGGGTTTTGCATTTCTTTCAGACTCTATAGTTAACCATGTCATATGATAGGTGAAAATCAGCCATGGGAGGAGTATTTACACCGTAGAAATTGACAAACACTAAAAAGAAATCAAGGCTTTTTTTTTTTTCCCCTCCTTGGACAGCTAGTGGTTAAACATTTACTAGTGTACCACTGCTCAGAGAGGCCAGATATCAAACATATTAAATGCCTTCGAGGGTCCTCAGGCTGTTACCTAGACAGTACTAGTTCTTGTATTGGTTCCTGAAATAAATAGAGCCTAAGGCAAGCATCAAGCACTCGTGTTTTACTGGGCAGTGGAATCCCAGGGCATCTTGGGTTAGGGTCCAGAGCAGTGAAAGAGAGGAGGATGGGAGCACGTCCAAGTTGGTGCACTGGCCGTCTGCCCAGCACTGTACAGCTCACAAATAGACTAGCCAGTTGTTCATTTCCAGACAGAGCCTTAGGACAGTCCATCACAGGGAGGTGCAGAGACGGAGTTACCTTTCACCTCTGCTTGCTCAAAAGTTCTTCCCACCTGTCTTAACCCACCCACGTTTCTGGGTCTGACTTCTATGGAAACCAAATCCCTGGGCCTGCCCTTTCCTGCCCTTCTTTTGCATCTGAAATGGTGGGAGGAACAACTCTGATGGCAGAAACATGAAGGGTTACCCCAAGTGAGTTCCTGTCCTGGCAGACATGACTCTGGGAGGCCATGAAAAACCAAGGGCCTCAGGAAATGTCAATTTCAATCTTCAAACCTGAGGGTTCAAAAGTCTTGACTGGGGGACTTCTCTAAAGGTCAATTTTCTGGGCCCGTTTTGAGAATTCTGGATCTTTGGAACCTGGGTCAGGCTCAGGAATTTCTCTTTCTAACAACTATCCTATGCAGTAGGTCAGTGGGTCACACCAGAGGAGGCAAATTGTAAATATCCTTACCCACCTGCATTGTGGTCCTGCCCTCCACCTTCTTGCATGTTCCTTCTGAAATGCCATTCGGATGCAGGGTCTCCAACCTGTTAATCACCCTGGCAGCTTTTCCCATCAGCCCCCTGCATCGTTGGAGGCATCTTTCCCTCGGTCTCAGCATCTTTGCCATGGCTCACTTCTTCCACCTTCCTAGTGAGTGAGCACGGAGAGTAGGAAGACAGACCTGGGACCTCTGACTCAGCCAGTTGGCTTTTAGATCCTCAGTTTCCTCATCTGGACAATGGGGACTTTGTTCCCTACTTCCCTGGACTTGTGGAGAGAATCACATTAGGACACCCTTCTAACTGCAACGTGCCAGGGCACATCATAAGTGTTATTATTTTTGGGTTGGTGTTATCATTACGAAGTGGGATGACCACCGGATGTGCAGATCTTACCCACTAAGTGAACTAACTTGTAATACCATAGCGTTCCCCTCTGCAGTTCACTAAATGCTGCCTGATCATCTTTACAGCTCTACCTTTCTGAGTAAGTAATCTCATCCTTGTTTTACATATGGCCAAACTAAGCCAAATCCGGAGTAGTGAGGAGCATAATTCTCTTCTAAAAAATGCTATGTGCTAATGTAGATCCCACCATCCTGGAAGTACACACTGGTAACTAGTGAGTGAACATCCTTCTCATCCAAAGAGGCTTCAGAAGCATAGGCAAGAAGTATGGTCTTAGGCTTTCAAGCAATTAGCATCTCCTGGTCCTAATGTACTGTCTTACCATGTGACCTTGAATCTGGTGGGCATTGGCTCCTGGTGGAAATTTATAGGTAAGAACCAAGGGAGTAGGACCTGAGCTCCACGGTTCCATTCAAATAAGACAATGCTTTACAGACCCTTGCAGGACTGTCCCTTGTCCATGCAGGTAAGGAGCATGCAGATGCCATTTCTGTGCACTTGTTTTATAAGATTTCTGAAAATCCAGAGACTCAAGATCAGTCAATCAACATGCCCCCAACATACACACACAGGTTTAAGCTGGTTTTACCTTGTTGTGTCTTAAGCTTCTTTTCACTCTGAATCTAAGATATGAGTAATTCATTACACAATTGGATTTTATGGTTTGTTTATGCTGATTCTGATCACAGAATAAATGACTACCTGGAGTATAAAAAAACTAATGAAAACCCAGGCATCAATCAAGAACATCTATGAATAAAGACTTTAAACATCCATACTTAGGAATATAGATGGTATTTAGAAATAGATCTGAAAAGACTTATGTAATGTGTTTTAATCAAATCTTGAAGAGAAATTGACCAATAAATCAAATCTTGAAAAGAAATTGACCAATAAATCAAATTTGGAAAGAAAGTGACAGATAAATCAAGTCTAAAAAAGAAAACAACCACTATATCATGACATGATATGTTTATTAAAACAACTGATACCTGTTTGGGTTTTTTGTTTGTTTGTTTTTTGTTTTTGTTTTGTGTGTGAACCTGTTTCTTTGCTGATCCCAAGTGTTAGGAGTGCATTTGGAAAACAAAATACTATGTGTACTATATGCTATTCTCTCTCTTTCTCTGTCTCTCTCCCATTCTATCTCTCATACGTGAACACACACACATAAGTACATTTTAATTTTTAAACCAAAACAGACAGTGATCTGGGATAGAGAAGGTAGAGAGGAAAAGGTCATTTGTAGACAGACACCCAGTCCTGGCTTCACTTTTCTGTGGTTTCTGGGATTCCTGCAGTGTGCTATCTGCTACATAAAGCATGTTTATAACATTTGGGATCCAAAAACTGTCTGATGAATCTTAAATACTCTTTCCCAGTAAATGGTGTCCATCAATTCCACAAGGGAGTTTGCTTTTGCATCTATGTAGCTTTGTACAGGATATAATATTTCAATTGACTTTAAAATGATTTTTTTAGGACTTTCCACAAAGGTATCTCTAAGTGCATTTTCAAGATCAAGTGGAGTGTGTGTGTGTCAACTTGGATGCTCAAATGGATTTAGAATGCACATTAACTATTTAGATGAGCTTTTAACAAACTGATTGTGTGTGCGTGTGTGTGCACGAACGTGTGCGTGCAGGTGTATGGGGTGTACGTGTTTGAGTTTGGTGTGGAGGACGTGTCAATGCCACCAGCCCTGTCTCTTCACCATCTCTTTCCTGCCTCCATTCACAGTGCTATACAACACTTGATTTCAGAAAGGAACTTTTCAAAGAAAACACTTCAGACTGATTCTGAGATCCTGTGACATCAGCTACCTGTGCTGTACTTTCCAAAAGAGACATGAATTAAAATTACCTGTGTCATCACCCACAAATGTGCACTTGCAATTATTAAGTAGTATATCTCTGCCCTAGTATCTGGCTTAGGAAATTATGCTCTCCGTATTTAGACTCATCCTTATCTACTTTCCAGTTCGTCAATACACTATGTAAATTCATACCCCCCACTGTCATTTCCATAATAATGTCAGTAGTTAGTTGTTGGGTTCAGTTCTTCATGTGTCTTTTCTGGATCCACACACAGGCACCTGTGCAGGTACATGAAACGACTCCTCCATTTAATAGAGGGGAAACTGAGGCAGAAAGAGAAAGTCACTTGCCCCAGATCCTATAGCTGGCCAGCAGTAGAGGTGAGATTTGAAGCATGGGTGCTTCTAACCAAAATCAACGCCACCTTCGCACATCCAACAATATTTACTGCTTAGTAAACGTGACCATGTTGCTATTATTTCCAGGAGAGTGCTCAACTCTTCATTCTGCTCTTGACATGATGCCGTCCCCAAGGCCACCCATGATGGAAGGGTGATATAGAGTTCATGGCCAGTCCATCCTTTTAAGAATCAATTTCCTTGTCCCAGTGTAAGCCAAGTTACCTCCCTTAACATTGTCATGATCTTGTATGAAAATGAATCATTCTAATTTATAGACGTTTCCATGAAAATAGACTCCTCTGCTTCAAGTGTCAAAAATGATCTTATCTCTTCTTGCATTTTCAAATGTACTTAAACTTTCCAGCTCCTCCCACACCATTCCACTCCCTACAGAAAATGGCTTATGTAGTATGCATGCCTGGAAGGTTCATTCCCTGAGTGGAGTTTCAGGAGGCTGTCCAAATAATACTCTCTTTGACTTTGATTTTCCTTTGGGTGACAGGGCAATAATACTCAGTGTATGATGGCTTCCTTGGTTTATACAGTGGACATACACCAGTGCTCATAGTAATGGGACACTTTTGTCCTTTAATTGTCCAATAAGATCAAGTTTTAGGGTCCATGCAATGTTCTGCATCTTTTGATAATGATGGTAGTGTTCTTACCAACTTTCCCAAATGGAATGATATCTTTATTTTTGTTATTCATTTTTAATTAATTGACTAAAAAAATCACCTATATTCATGGTATCTAATCTGATGTTTTGATGTATGTTTGCATTGTGAAGTGGCCAAACCAAACTAAATAACATATGTACTACCTCACATACTTATCACTTTCTTTCTTACCATCTACTCTCTATGACATTTTCAAGTCTGCAATATGTGATTAACTATTCTACCCATTGCATTATTCAACAGACCTCTTGAAATTATCTCTCCCTTTTGACTGAAATTTTGTGTCTTTTGCCCAACATCTCCCACCCCACTACCCCTAGTAACCACCGTTCTACTCTGTTTCCAAGCATACTGTATTCTAAAGTAGGTCGCATAGAGATGTTTTAGACTTAAAGATAAACCAAAAATAGAACATTTTGGGGGGTGGGTTGCAAGGATACTAAGAGAAAAAAATGTATTACTGGTAGGTTTTGAATGTTTGCCATGTTTTCCTGGTATTTCTTTTTTCCCCTGTGCTTTGTGAAAAAATAAGTCTCTATCATGCCATGGATGACTAGCTTCAGGGGCATGGAACTCATGCTGTCCAATGGGGTCCCACACTAGGTTTAATGATCCACTGTTCCCTTCCTGAACTTCTGGATGATCCCACATTGTCATTTTGCACCAGGCCCTCACAATTAAGCAGCAAGTCCAATCTTGCATTTACCATCTTTCCGTCTTTTCTTTGTTTTTTGCAGTGATGGGGTTTGAACCCAGGTTTCATGCACACTAGGCAACACACTTTCCATCTTTAACCACACATGTCTTCCTCAAGTTTGATTTGCTGACTGTTGAGGCCCAAAATTGCTCCCAGCTTTTCGTGGTGTATCTTTCAATGTCTGTTCTGTCCTTCCTCCTGCCAGACTTACTTTTTTCACCTCACATTATTTAAGGGTAGCCCTTAAAACCATGCAGGAAAAGATGGAAAAAACATTCGTTGATGCCGTAGGAATTATGAAAGAAAACAACCAATACAAATGCAGGCCAAGTGGCCTTTTGATGAGTGATGAAGGACCCTGTCCTGTCTTCAGAGAGCCAGAGTCCCTGCCCCAAGATGGTTTGACTTTGTACAGAACAAAAGAGGTCTTTGTAGGGCCTGTCACCACCAAGGCCAGACATAAAGTACTGTGTGAGTGCCAGTTGCACCTAGTGTTAGGTCAGAACCTCTTTCTGTGATTTCAGCATTGCCATTTTTGAATCAATTGATATAACAACGTTAACAAATGTACAGATATTAATGTCATTAATATACAGTATTAATACAAAAATAGTATTTTTCTTTGCTTATTGGCATTAAAGTTTTTATAGAAAAATGATGGAATATCATGACGAAAATAAAATTTGAATCCCTTACTCTCTAAATCAGTGCTGTTCAATGGGACTTACTGTGATGATGGAATGTTCCAGATCTGTGCTATTGAATGTAGTAATCACCTACCATGTGTGACTATTGAACCCTTGAAATGTGGCTAGTGTGGCAGAGGAATTGAATGCTTAATTGTGTTTAATTTAAATTTTCATTGTCATATGGAGCTAGTTCTTTCTCCATTGTGGATATGGTCTTCTATTCCATGTTCAAGCCTTGTTTCTTCCACAGATGACCACGTGTCACTGTCTGCTCTGTGGTTTTTTAAAGGTGAACTATAAACTTTTCCCACCTTTTAGTCCAAGATTTAGTGCCCTTGGCTCTATATGATGGTATAAGAAAGAAAGTCTGGAAGTCTCTCAGCTACAGTGCTAGTGTTGAAACTTGCCCAAACCTGAGCATCACATTGCTATCCCAGAAGAGGGTCATCTACACTACGGAGCATTGTGTAGGGAATGAGCTTTCTTCTGCTGCTTACAGGAAGCTAAGAAAGTATGGAAGAAGGGAGCTCTGGGCAGGTGGGCGGGCCACCATCTTGAGAATATCCGAACATTTTCTACACTTTCATCTGGGACCAGCCATAAGCACTTTGTTGTCTCAGCATCAAGATTTCAGAGTCAATACATTTCGCACATGAAGTAAGTGAGAATCGAGAGGACAGCTCATCAGGGTAATGTGGCTTGCACATTACAAGGCCAGACTGTGCTCCAGTTCTCTCTGGCTCCTAACTCTACCCTCTGTGCACTTGCTGAGAATTAATACCAACAGATGCAGGTCGTCAGGACAAGGACTGCCTCTGTCTGTCTTTGCAAATGCCTGGGAAAAGCCATCAGTATTATGTAGTACTCCTCAAGATGCTACCACCTGAATAACTTTGTCTAGTGAAGTGCAAAATTCACAATGAGGTGGGTCTGCTTTGAAAAAACTAAACATTTCACTGAGTTCTATTGCTTATGTGATTGTAAGACAGAGATGGGGAGAGAGAAAAACCAGCCGCCCCGCCCATGCCTACACATGCACAATCCTTCTATGTCATACAAATGGGATCTTTTCTTTTCTGTTATAGGATAATTCAGTGGACACAGACATAAAAGCTACCCAGAGTCTTAATTATGTGGAAATCAACCACCTTGAAACTCCTTTCTTAAAGTCTGTCTTGAGCTGCTTGCCATGGTCCCTGAAGGCCAGAGGCAGCTCTGCAGACTGCAATAAGGTTGAGGTATTAGTCGTAAAGGGGAAGGAAGAGCACCCCTCCCAGCCCAGGAAGCCCAGTTTGCCATCAGAGCACAGTCCTCAGAAAGTCCAAGCTTGCAAGATCTTCCAAGCCAGGGGATCTTGCTGAGGCCATCAGATCCGCTGCCTCTGCCTGGGCCACGGCAGAGTTTGGGTTGGAGGGGAACACTGGAGGGGAAGGAAGAGCAGTTCCCCCTTTTTCTCGAGGCTTCCCTTTGTTATCCAGGGTCCTGGAGAGGTCTGGGCTGGGTGGGGTTGGTGTGATTTGGAATACTGCCACCATAGTCTCTGGAGACACTGGCCTAGTGATTGGGAGACACCATTCTGGAAGCTGGCCTTGACTCTATCTAATCCAACAGGCACTTACTCATCACGTAGACCATTCCAAAAATAACACACACCAGAGGGCCTTGGGGACAAGAGGCCCTGCAGGCTCAGGAACGGCCTTCCTGTTCGCGCTCCTGCCCAATGGTGGTATGATTTCCTAGGTCTTCCTGTTCCTCCCCGTTGCTATTTGCGCCCCCTATCTGGGATGTCCCTGCTCAGGTTTGCCTCCAGGAGTTCAGCATCCCACACAAATGGTAACTTGCTGTGTGAATTCTCATTAGTAGGCAAAGGAAAATTGTCACTAAGGGCTGCAGTGCTTGGAGCCCAGAGAACTGGGAAGAACCAGCTCAGTTTCTTATTCCCAAGCCCATCTCCTGCCACAGGCAGATTAAACCAATGCCAGAACCTGGCCCTCTTCTTTAGTCATTTCAAGCCCTAGCAGCTTGGCTGAAGGCAAGTGTCTTGGCTGGGCTTTGAATCTGTGCCTCAGCATTTACCAGCTGTGTGGACTTGGGCACATTGCCTCATGGCTCCAAGCCTCAGTTTCTTCCTTCTTAAAAGAACAACTCCTGTGTGGCAGAAGTTTGTTTGGGAGACAAGGAGGAACATAATATTGTATATAGGGTCCTTACCAGGACCCAAAACAGACTCCTCCATCTGCCCTTGGTATTGCTGCTTCACTCAACAAGATTTTGGGTTATAGGCATACGTACAGAAATGCACCAACGATGCACAGTCTGAAAGTTAAGAGAGCTTTGGGAGATGATGAAATAGAATAATTCAAGTCAAGATCACTTCCTCCAATTCTGGAATGTATGGTGGCTTCAAACGCATGTGAGCTGCGTGGATAACAACAGATAGCAGTTTCAGTAGTGTTGACAGTAAGGTAAGTAATACTGGTAGTAAGAGAAGTAGTAACAGTTGGATCAGCAGTAGTACTTAACTTTGACTCTGCTCTGTGACAGACATTGCTAAACTTTTTCATGGACAACTCCCTTACTTCTTCCTACAACCCTACATGAAAAAGAATTGAAGTCCTAATGCCCATATCTGGATGCAGAATTGGTTATTTCCAGGCTGGGTTATGACAAGTACATCTCCAACATTGTCTTCAGACCTTTTCAAGGTCACACAACCATCTTCGTGGTGCATACCGGGAGGCTGACATCCAGCAAGGGTCCGGTGGCTTCCTGCAGTGGCTTTCAGTGAGTTCATGATAGGGCAACAGACATCTGTGGAAGAAAAGCAGGGTCAGATGCTGATGGGGGGAAGGAACTTGCAGGGCTGTCCAGATCTGCACTAGCTAGTGAGTCTTGGGTGTGTGGATGCCCTTGCTTTCAGAACAATGATTGCACCAGGACTATGAGTAGTTGACAGATTGCTACTAGGATCATCTCATTGTCACAGCACTACTGGAAGCCAGTGAAGCCAGAACCTAGCATCTCCAAGGGGGCAGAGCTTCTGAGTGCCAAAGGCTTACCTATGGTCTGGATGCATCTGTAGCTGGACTCTCTGGGGTCAGATACCATGTTCTCCTGGGTGACCAACTTTCCCCAGTATGTCCATCACCTCACCTGTCTGATCAGCTCAGTTCATTCCTGAACAACTTCTTGTGGTACATATTGCTACAGTGGCCTCTTGGGGACCCTTTGACAATGGTCCCATGACTTCTGTCTCAGGTCCTCTCTTTAGAGGGAACCCCTGACAGCAGGAGCCTCTCCAGCATGGGTTCCAGGAAAGATGAATCTGCTTGTGTTTGCTTAAAGAGTATTTTTAATTATAGAAATAGAATAGAGAAGATGATGGGGAAACTACAACTCACTCACAGGCCCATCGGAAAAATCCCTGTTTACCTTGGAGAATGTTAGAGCAATCAGTTTTCCATGCACACATATTGCAGTGTTTTACACCACGCTCGGGTGCCATTTATACAGTTACACAACCTGTATTTTTCCATGAAGTGCTAGGGTATGTGCGATTAACTATCACCCCAAAATACTTTTAAGCCTCTCAATTTTGTATGTTGTAAATGAGATGATGTAATCATCAAATTATTATTGCATATTTAGATTATCTCCATTTTTTGTTATAGTTAACACTACTGAACATCTTTACACATAGATCTGTCTGAGCCTCAGACTGTTTCGTTGGTGTAAATTTTAACAAATAACAATTACTGGTAATAGTATATTTTGAAACTCAATATATAAAATTGTTTTCCAGAAAGGTTTAATTAGTTTATACTACCACACATTCTATATAAGTCAGTTTCACTGTAACTAACTTATTAGAATTACTCATTTTATAGAAACTTCCTTGACACACAGCACAATGATAGCTTATTGTTTCAATATCTTATATCTTTGTTTCTTCTTGAACATTTTTCCAAATTTTAATTTTACGATCTTTTTTTTTTTTTTTTTTGGTGGGACTGGGGTTTGAACTCAGAGGTCTGAGCTTGCAAAGCAGGTGCTCTACCGCTTGAGCAACACCTCCAATCTATTTTACTCTGGTTATTTTGGAGATAGGGTCTCACAAACTATTTGCCCAGTCTGGCCTCGAACTACAATCCTCCCCAGTCTCTAAAGTAGCTAGGATTATAGGTGTGAGCTACCGGCACCTAGCTGATTTTATGACTGCTTTTATTCCTCCATCTGTTAACTAACTGCTCTTTTCCTACCTTACATCACCTTTCTTTTGGTCTATGACTGCTGGTGTTCTTGCAGATTTCCTACAACTATTTGTATATGGTGTATTAATGCATTGTCATATTTGTTATAAAATATCGTACACTTTTCCTTTTGATTATATTTGTTTTTACATTTATAATCTTTAGTGTGTGAATAAAATGTATTCAAACATAACAGACTTTCTCTGCTTCTGTTTTTTGGCCTTATTTACTTATTTATTCAATCATTTATTTATTTTTGGCAGTACTGGGTTTTGAACTTGGGGGTTCATGCTTGCTAGACAGGCACTCTACTTCTTGAGTCATGTCTCCAGCCCTTTGTGCTCTGATTATTTTGGAGATAGGGTCTTGTTTTTGGCTAAGGCTTGCCTGGACCACAATCCTCCTATTTTTGGCTTCCACCATGGCTGAGATGACAGGTTCACACCACCCGTTCCACCTTTTTTCAGTTGAGATGTGATCTCATGAAATTTTTGGCCTGGGCTCGTCTGGAACCTTGAACTTCCCAATCTCAGCCTCCTATGTAGCTTGGAATGATAGGCGTGTGTGACTGTGCCAAGCTAGTGGTAGAGATGAGGTCTTGCTA